GGTGTGCTCCCTGCTGGAGGAGTGGCGGGGCCTTGCTCCAGGTCTCGCTGATGCAGTGTCAGGTCCGCGGGGCTTTGGGCAGGCTGCGCTCGCCAGTCACATGTGTCAGGTGGTGCCGAGTCTGTGACTTGGTTTACCAAGGTCACCAGAGGGATGTGGTTGCTCCCCAGAGTCAATATCTTAGTGCGATCGCGTTGTGCCCAAACTTTTTATTTGAGTAGAGAATGTGTACATGTGAACAGCAGTTCAGAGCAGCCAGAACCCACCTTCTGTCCAGCTAACGAGAGACTCTTCCCACAAGTTCATCTCGGCCCCACCACTCCTTCTTCTACTCATTCATGGCATTCATTCATTCAACAGACATTTACTGAGCACATCGGAAGACAGTTTCTGAACGAACACCACAGTGAGCATTACAAATACTTACTCATTCATACCACACTGGCCCGGTCTCACTGTCTGACAGGCATTGCACTAAGCAGTCACGATACACCACAGCCTCTCTTGTTGGGGAAAACAGACAATAAAGATGCAATTCCATGGTTAACCAAGATGCTTCCAGATGTTGATCAGAGGACTTGAGAAAAGCCTCTTTGGGAGGGAGTTCAGGGAAGTTCTAAGCATCTTTGAGCTGACATTGGGAGGGTGGATCCATGAAGGAGATAGAACAAATGGAAAGGGCTTAGTGTCTCCAAGGACAGAACAGAGGCCAGTATGAACAGAATGCAGTCAGAGAGGCAGGAGTGACGAGAACCATCAGGCAGGTGATCAGGAATGAGATCATGCAGGGCCTGGTAGGTCCTGGCCAGGAGCTTGGGTTGTATTCTGGACACGAAGGGAAGCCCTTTCAGGGTGTGAAGCCTGCTCCTTGACAGCAGGTACCCAAGCTGTGGTTTCAACCCTGCACCCCCTCCTAGTATAGTGTGTTTCACCCAGGAGATGTTCATGAACTATACGTTAAATAAATGAATGAACAAATGGATGGATGAAGGACACAGGGATTGGATTTAGGCCTTAAAAAAGATGGGAAGATTTGAATTCAGGGAGAAGAGAGGGGAGCAGAGCTGCTTCCTTCCAAACTACATAATAGCCCTAGAAATTTCTATAGTATTTTGTATTTTGAGCCAATTTTCCTTATGTCTGAATCTTCCCTCCAGTAATAAATTAGGTGCTTTTGGGAAGAATGTGAGCTCCGAGAATTACAACAGCACAAGCACCTTGCTCAGAAAGGAGTTGTGTCTAAGATCATAAAGCCAACGTGTCTTTGCCAATGGTAGCCGTTGTAGAGAATAGAAATGTAAAAAAGAAAAAAAGAATAGAAATGTAAGCTGTGTGTGAAAAAAGACTATATTATTCAAGAAGATTTCCTGCTCTGTGCTTTTCCCCTAGGATTTCCATGAGATGAGTCATGGCTTGCTTCTCATGCTGGAGAACATCGACAGGAGGAAAAATGAAATTGTTCCTATCGATTCTCACCTCGATGCAGAAATACTGCAGGACCAGCACAAGCAGCTTACGGTAAGATGTGTGAACGCCGCAGCCTCTGGTTGTTTTAGCAGTGATCCCTTTCATTTGCAGGAAAATAAATGGTTATATTTTTTACCTTTTAAGTTATAGTCTCTAAGTTAATTTTTGTGAAGCAAACACGTGCATAGAATAGCACATCAACTAGCTTTAGAATCTGGTTCTAAAGCCATGGCTCAATTGTAGAAATCTTAGCTGTTCTAATCTGAATTAACTTGTTTTTATTAAAGCAGGTCTTTGGTGAATTACACTTATTTTTCATTTAAACTGTATTTGTTACATCCCTGTCCCAAAAGTATATGAGGTGGTGTATAATAAAAGGACATTCATTACAACTATTAAAATAGCATTAGGGCTTTGTAAGAGGAATTACTAGTAAGTGAATCAAATTCTGCATTAACCTTAACATCAAGTTTTCTGAAAGTTAAAACAAAAAGGGAAACGTGATAACTTCACTTATTTTCATTATCTGACAAAAAGGAAGCATACCAGTTCTCAGGGAGGGAGAAACTTTTTTCAGCACTAACTTCTGAAGGAAACCTGCAAAATTTCTGGGTAGATTCTCATACAAAGAACTGTGGACAATATAACGTACAGCGTACTTAGGTGACTTCACAGACGATACAGAAGCAGATTTGCATCCCATTAGGAGAAAATGAGTTGAATTTTGTAGCTTTCTGCATTTTTTAGATGTTATTTCTTACCATTTAACACTCACTAACCTAACCAGCAGAATTGGTCGCTTCTAATTCAGTACCATAAAGGTCTTAGAATATAAGAGGAAATAGTGATGCGACTGCATTTCCACTAGACTTCGAACCTCAGGCTTTAAGTTGTAAATGATAAATCACCACATATCTTTTTTTAAATCTTGAACAGATATATGAGTGTATCTAGACATACTGGAGGTCTGATACATTTATGGTAATGTTTTACTGTTCTGTTTAAAAGACTATCTTATGTCTCATTTGCATAATACTTTCTATTTTAAGTACTTTCACATATATTTACTAAGCTGAACCCAAGAATACTTACTGTGGATCAGGCAAGAAATAATATCATCATTTTACCAAAGAAGCAAAATTCACATCCAAAAGGCTCAGGGGTCTTAGGGAATGGTTTTGGCGGAAGCAAGATTAGAACACAGGTCCCTGATTCCCAAATGCCATGGGCGGCTCTATCCTTCCTGTGTGAGCTCAGCATTCCGAGGCTTAGGCATAAGTGCCCAGTAAGTTAAAGTGATGTCATTCTGCACTGTAGAGACTTTCCCTAATGATCAGAAATCCTTAAAGAAATGTTTCTTACTCTATACATAGCAAATAAGGCAGGAGCTCTTAGAATCCCAGCTCAAAGTGGCCTCGCTGCAAGACATGTCTTGCCAGCTGTTGGTGAACGCTGAAGGCACAGACTGCTTAGAAGCCAAAGAAAAGGTCCATGTGATTGGAAATCGGCTCAAACTGCTCTTGAAGGAGGTCGGTCGTCACCTCAAGGAGCTGGAGAAGTTACTGGACATGTCGAGCAGTCAGCAGGTAAGCGCTCAGCAGGCAGCACTGTGTAGCCTTTGCTACAGAGCATCAAGGAAGCATCATCCTTGTCCATTTCAGAATGTCTTTGAGTGTCTACTCACTGTCACGGCTCCTGCAAGTCCAGTCTCAAAATAAGAAAGAGACTTATAGTCTTTTTTAAAAAATATATATATATATTTAATTTTGTTTTATTTTTATTGATTTCAGAGAGGAATGGAGAGGGAGAGAGAGATAGAAACATCAGTGATGAGAGACAATCATTGATTGACTGCCTCCTGCACGCCCCACACTGGGAATCGAGCCAGCAACCCAGGCATGTGCACTGACCTGGAATCGAACTGCGACCTCCTGGTTCATAAGTTGATGCTCAACCACTGAGCCACATCAGCTGGGCAGGACTTATAAACTTTTATAATAGGACACTGCTTTTGATTCTGTCCCACCCAGGAGACCTCCTGTAGTTGTCGCTGCTAACCTCACACCACCACTACTGTGACATTTTATTTTACCCTGTTTAGTTAAGAATTCACGTATTTTCTGTACCATAGCCATGATACATCACAACCAATTATTTGCATATGATTCAGCCTAAAAGGTGATCTCTGACACAA